TTTTGGCTATAAAAGAGCAACAAGAGGGATCTCTGTAGTGATAGAAATATTGTTTATCTTGACCGCATGAATGCCAATATCTGGTTATGGTATCGTACTTAAGTTTTGCAAGATATTACCATTAGAGTTAATTGGGTAAAGGATATACAATATCTCTGTCTTATTTCCTACAACTGCATGTAAAGTTACAATTATCTCAAAATACAAGAGTTTAGTTGACAAAAATAGATGTCCTTTAAAATTTTTAAATAATAATTGATAACGAAAATCATAATTACCCTAAGATAAAAGACTTGCTATTATTTATCTCTCAGATACACATTAGTGAAACAGTTTCATGTATTGTCTAAAAATCCCCAATCTAATGAATATTATTAGAAGTGGTTTATTCTGTAATACGCTAAATTTATACCATAGCCCCCAGTAATAGACTTTGTTAAATTGGTTACAATGAGAATTTTTTTAATGTTTTTTTCCTTATTGATTTGAGAGAGAGACAGGAAGGGAGAGGGAGAGAGAGATAGAAAGATCGATAAACAAGAACATCAATTGGCTGCCTCCTGCATGCCCCTCACTGGGGGATCAGGCCCACAACCTGGACATGTGCTCTGACCAGGAATCAAACTGGTGACCTCTTGGTGCATGGGTCAATGCTCAACCACTGAGCCACACTGGTTGGGCACAATGAGAAATTCTTTACTACAGTCTTTCAGTGATCCCCATTCACACAAATGTGTAACAGATTATGTACTATTTATTCTTAATCAGAGGGAAGAGAATCACGGTACTAGTATTTTTTTTTTATCCTCACCCGAGGACATTTTTCCATTTTTTGTTCAGACAGAGTGGGAGGGAAAGAGAGGAAGAGAGAGAGAAACATCAATGTGAAAGGGACACATCGAGTGGCTGCCACCTGCACAACCCAAACAGGGCCGGGGACAAACTGTAACCGAGGTACGTGCCCTTATCGGGAACCGAACCCAGGTCTCTCAGGACCTCAGGCCGATACTCTAACCGCTGAGCCAAACTAACCAGGGCTGTCCCAGTATTTTTTAATATCCCTCCTTGCTTTGTGTCTGAACTTCCTGAAGAATTACCAAAAATAAAGTGACAAAACCTAAACAACAAGTAGGCATTTGGTAAAAAGAGGATAAGGTTGAAAGTGTGATGATATATGATTCTTCTCTTTCTTCTATAGGGTTCAAAACACTTCTGTAAGCTCTGCTTCATCTACTAACATTACAGACAGAAAACATGATTTTGCCTACGAGTATTGTAAATGAAAAAATAATATTGTTGTCTCATGAGGCTTCTTGTAAATTAGCTATATGAGCTGTGGCTGATGAAATTAATGAATTAGAGCTAATTTTTAGCTACAGCTAATAAAAACCTGTAGCATTCTTATTGTTTGAGAAGCAACAACGTATTGAGTAGAAATGGCTGGTGCTTCATGAATGTAGATGATTGAAACAAATACTAACCCAGTAATGGACAGGAGTGGGCGGAAGCTGGATTTATAAGGAAGTATGCATGAAAAAGAAAGTGTGCAAAAACATAGTTAAGATATCAAAAATAATTGGTGGGGAATATGAGGTGGGAGAAGTGCAGAAATAATCTCCTCACACAGTTCCAGAGAAGTAAAATCTGATTTATTTGTGTTCACAAAAGGAACACAAAATTGCCATCTTGACAGGAAACATTTATCTAGAGGAATATTATAGACATCTGCACAAGGCAAAGAAATATTCCTTTGACTACAACCAGAATGTATTCTTTTGTCATCATGAGAAAAAATGTTTTGGGTGAAATGTTATTATGGCAGCATTGAATCAAATATGTATTTAAAGATGACTGTTTTATACATAGGAGAAAGCATATTGAACATAGAACATTAAGCATATTGAACATAAAACAGAAAATGGAGTGACATCTTTGCACACATGTGTCACAAATATTGTCATTATAAATGTTTAAATTCTTTTTTTAAATTTTTTTTTCTTTATCCTTACCCAAGGACATTTTTGCATTTATCTTCAGATAGAGCAGGAGGGAGAGAGGGAGGAAGAGAGAGAGAGAATCATCGATGTGAGAGAGACACATCAACTGGTTGTCACCCACACGACCCCAACCGGGGCTTGGGACAAACTGCAACTGAGGTACGTGCCCTTAGCGGGAACCCAACCCAGGACTCTCTGGTCCATGGGCCAACACTCTAACCACTGAGCAAAACTGGCCAGGGCATTTAAATTCTTTTAAATGATCAGCATATCAATTGTAAATCAATCATGCTTCTTTCAAAGGCCCCTATACCAAAGTGTTATCCATTTTTTTTCCTAATCCTTTTCAGTAGTATCAACCAACAACAAAAAACTCTGGAATTTTTCATAATGATGCATTTTTTCTTATTTTATTTCCTTTATTAGTCAGTAATTTAAATAGTATAAAACTATTTGAAATGTTCTTCATATCTAAATAGTATATGTAGCAGATTTATTTTACCTTTGGTTTTTATTTATTTGTTATTTAATCCTCAACCAAGGATAATTGTTCGTTGATTTTTAGATAGAGTGGAAGGGAGGGATGGGGAGAGAGAGAGAGAGAAACATCAGTGTGAGAAAGACATGGATTGGTTGCCTCATGCATGACCCCAACCAAGGCCATCAGGGCCACCAGAGCCACCAGGACTAAACCCAGGTACATACGGAATCAAATCCAAAACACTTTGGTCTGTGGGCCATCACTCTTAACTACTGAGCCAAACCAGCCAGGACTTAACCTTTGATTTTTAAATAAGTTAGCATCTCATCTTCAGTGCTCAAGCTTTTGTATATTTAAAATATTATTATATTTTGCTGAACTATCTCTAAGCACAAATACATAAATTTAATTTATGAGTTCTATGAAATTATACACAAAATATCTGTAAATTCATATAAGTGCTTAACACTTAATCAGAGAAGGATACTTTTTTCCAAATTATTCATTCATATAGATTAACTAAAATGCACCTATTTTCACAAAATATTTGTAATAATAAAAAGTTATTTTATCTTTTTCCTGCTTTAACCTTTCATTAAAATATGAAATATTTTGTATACCTCTACTTCTACCTCTGCTTTGTATTTGGAGAACACCCATTGTTCTCCTTAATCATCTTTAAAACCAGTCTTAGAAACCATCTATTATCAGTTTTCTCTCAAGTTACAGGAAAAAGTAGAGTAAATTAGACCAGGCTCTTAGCAGAGGATTACATCATTTTTTAGCTAGTTCATATCAATCTCTTACCAAATCCTTCAGCCAGTTTTAATATGTACACAGAAATGATGCCGACAGTGAGATGAAATGCCATTTATGAAATATGATCATTTTATTCACTGGCCAGAAGACAAAGCTCCAAAGGGAAGTTTAAAGCTCGGGTATTATCTCTGCTTCTTAAAATGCTGAACAATAACTACGTTTTCCTACTGAAAGATAAGTCCAGAACAACTGAAATTCACTCTTTCTGTGGAAAATGCTCAAAGAACAAAGTATGCACATACAGGGAGAAATTGATCTTGATTATACACTCTAAAGTGAAAGGGAAAAAAAAAAATTCTGAATTCTACACAAAGGAAGTACGTGGTCAGATAAGTATAACTGCTGGCAAAAACAATTTAATCAACCATTCTTCCTAAGATGTTTATGTGACTTCTGAAAAACAGGGTACTTTTCTAACAAAGATTAAATTGCTTTCACTGTGAGTGGTACCAGCTAGTCATATCCTGATGTGTCATAGAGACCAGACAGGGACTAAGACCAATACAAAAGGGAGGAAAGAAAGGGAAAAAAAAAAAAGCATTGCTGATCAAACAGCTAGTTGTTCGCAGCAGTCATTTTTTTAAAATCCCCTTCTATATCTGAGCAATAGAATGATTTCTAACAATGTGCAACAAAAACACTGCAGAAAATTGTTTATCTTGAAACAAACAAAAAAGATTATTCATTTCAAAGCAAAACTGCAACGCACAGCATTCTACAGCAAAACTCAAATGACCATGTAAGCATTAAAGAATCCCTTTGCACAATAGAAAAAAAAAAAAAAAATTAGCTAGTGAGTTCTACTCTTGGCCTACTAAAGCTAAGCATGTATTAAAGGCAAGAGGGGAAGAAAAATTAAAAAGCCGAGACCAGCAATATTTGACAAGAGCTAAATTCTTTAATCCAGTTTCTGTAAGATCCTATTTAGATTTCCACCTGAGACATAAACAGACTTGGAAATGGTTTTCAAAACTCATTAGTTCTACAAAATGTATGTACAGCTTGCAAAATTTGCATTGACCAAGTCCACATGTATCAATTCACACTTACCTCTTTTATGCCTCCTAACCAATTACACGTTCCAGAGCTTGCCATGCAGTTACAAAATATTCACGTATAGGTTACATGCCAATAGACAACAAATTAAAACTGTTTCATTAGTTTAGTATAAAATATGGCATGTATAAGTACACATATGTATATATAAATGTGTACATGTATATTCAAACTAATGTATCAAAATTTGTTCTGAAACGCAGTATAAAATATTACATACATACACAAAATTTGCATAGATATTCGTATAGTTTATATTCCGGACACAAGCACTTTATCATGTAAATTTCCTCCAGCCCATGACTACTAGTCTTCTTGTTATTTATCAGAATCTTATAAAGAGTAGAAGGTAAGGTTGATGAAATCCAGTTTCTAAATTTTTTTTGATTGATCACTTTTTTAGTGTCATATGCAAAAAATCTTTTCCTTAACTCAAAGTCTCAAAAATTTTCTTCTATGTTTTCTCCTGAATCATTTGCATAGAGGATCTCTCTGTTTAGGACTTCTTTAATTTCTCTCAGCACTGATTATAGTATTTATTTATTTATTTGTTTAGTATTACTTTTTTGTTGTTGTTGTTACAAACTTAGCATCCTACCCACAACAAAAGAAAACTACATAATCTGACATTTGTCACCTGAGGAAAATAAGGGAGAGTGTGAATGCAGTCCCCCATTACCACAGATTACGCAGCTGAGTTTCCCACATTTGGGGAAATCGCAGGGGTCAGCACATGTGATGTGCAATGGGTAAACTGGCCCTGGGGACACCACCTTCATGATCATGGTAAGTAGGATTCTGGTTTTTTGTACAACATTACACAGCTTCTATCAATTCATCTCTATTTCATGGGTTTTGTTGCTATTATGGATGATTTGCTTTATTTCCATGTCCAATTGTTTGTAGTTAACAAATAAAGTTCATTTTTGTTTTTTTGTCTTGTATCTTCTTCCAACCTTCTTAAACTCACTAGTTCCAATAGCACTTCTGTAGATTCCACATGATTTTTTTTTTATGTAAAGAATTATTTTCTCTGTATATAGGAGTTTATTTCATTTCCCATCTGAATGACATTTATGTATTTTTATTTAAAAATGTTACTGTTGACATTACTGCAGGTGTTATTTTTATTTATTTATTGCACCAACTAGAAGCTCCAGTAGAGTGTTATCTGGGGAGAGTAGACATATTTGCCTTATTCCTAATCCTAGGAATAAAGCAATCAGTATTTTCTCAATGAGTATGTTAACTTTGGGATTTTTTCGATACCCTTTATCAGATTGAGAAACTTTCTTTATATTCTTAGTTTCCTAAAACATTTTTCTAATTACGAAGGGGTATTTCTTTCTTTTTATTTCACTTTGCTTTAGTAAAATGCTTTTGCTCTGTCTTGAGATGATTGTATGGTTTTTATCTTTTATTAGTATAATAAATTACATTGATTTATTTACAAATGATAAACTAAACTTGCATGTATGGAATAAACTTCCCTTGATCATGATGTATAATCTTTTTTATATATCATTGAATTTTATTAGCTAAAATATTATTAAGACTATTTTGCACATCTGCATCAATGGGTATTAGAGTAAAATAGGCTTCATAAAATGAATTGCATGGCTACATTGTTTCCTCTTCAACTTTGGAGAAAAAAGTTGACTAGAACTGGTATTGTTTGGATAAAATTGTCAAGGAAACCATCAAAACCAAGAGGTTTTTATTACCAAACTTAAAAAAAAAAAAAAAAAAAAAAGATTTTAAACTATAATTCAATGTCTCTCATAGAGATACAGCTATTCAAGTTACTAATTTTATCTTGAGTGTACTTTGACAGTTTGTATCTTGCAAAAATTTTGTCCATTTTACAAGAATTTTCATATATATTTGGATAAGTTTTTTTTTTTTTAATCCTCGCCTGAAGATATGTGTTTATTGATTTTAGACAGAGAGGGACAGAAGGAAGAAAAAATAATGTGAGAAAGAAATATTGATTGGTTGCCTCCAGTACATTCCGCACCCGAGGATAGAAACGGCAACCTAGGTATGGGCACTGATGAAGAATTGAACCCACAGCCTTTTGGTGTATGAGACAATGTTCCAATCAACAGAGCTACCTGGCCAGGGTTATTTGGATACGTTTTTTATAATCTTCCTATATAATTCTTTTTACTCTCTGTACAATATGTAGCAGTATCACTTCTTTCATTCTTGATGTTGATAATTTCTATCTTTTTCTCTTTATTTCTTGATGAATCTGGCTAGACAATTATCAATATTGTTAACTGTTTAAATGAATCAAGTTGAATTTCATTGTCTTTATTTTTCTGTGTGTCTGTTTTGTATTTTCAGTTTCATTGATTTTCATTCTGCTCTTTATCATTTCCTCTCTATTAAATATTGGTTTCATTTGCTATAGTTTTTCTTCTTTTATAAGGTAGAAACAGATGTGATTTATTTAAGACGTTTTTTCTAGTAAATATTTAGTATTATAAATTCCCCTCTAAGTACTACTTTACATGCATCACACAAATATTGATATATTTTGTTTTCCTTCTGTTCAAAATATTTTCTAACTCATCTTTTAGTCCTTCTTTGACTTATGGGTTACGAAGAGTGTTTGAATGAACAAATATTTGAGGATTTTTAGAAATCTTCTGTATTGGTTTCTAATTTAAGCCTATTGTGGTCAGAGAACTTAACTTAGTATAACTTATTTTGTAATATATATTTAAAAATGTTTAAGGGCCCTCAATATGTACATGTGTCTTGACAGTTTAAATGGATGTGTATTCAGCTGTTGTTGGGTGCAGTATTCTATAACATTGATCAGGTCAAGTTGACTTATAGTGTTATTCGAGTCTATTATAATCTTGCTGTTTTTTTCCCTATTCCAGGAGAGTTATAAAAGTATTTTACTTAATTTTCACATTTGTCTTTTTTCTCCTTGCCATTCTATCAGTATTTGCTTCATGTACTTTGCAGTTCTGTTATTTGGTGCATAAACATTTAGGATTCTTATATCCTTGTTAAAAGTTATTTGTTTTAAATTCTGGAATAGTCTTAATTTTAAAATGTACATTGTCTAATATCAGTATAGCAATTCCAGTATTTATGATTAGTGTTAACATGGCTTATACTTTGTTCTTTTACTTTTTAGCTATTTGTGTTTTTATATTTAAACTGAATTTATTGTGGGATTCATATACATTTCAGTCTTGAATTCTATTTAGTCCAACAATCTCTGTCTTTTAATTGAGATGTTCAGAATATTACTATTTAATGATTATCAATATGATTGGGTTTAAATTTGCCATCTTCTTTTTATTCGTCCCATCTCTTCTTTCCCTTCTTTTGTATAATGTACTTTTTACAATTCAATTTTATTGCCCCTGTTAACTCATTAATTATAAATTTTCAGGCTTATTTGTTGCTATAGAATTTATCATCTACATCTGTAAGTAATCTGAATGTGTGTTAAAGTGATGATATCACATTACTTCACAGACACATATCTGCTTTTCATCGAAGTTGGAAAAGTGTGACTTACTATTTCTTCAAATACTTGTCCTGCCTCTCCTTCTTTCTCCAGGACTCCTTTTATACATTATACATTAATCTAGTACCTCCCAGAAGACAAAACCCTTCTTAATAGTCTACCTGTAACCACTGTCCCATGAATTACAAGAATTTCCACTCTGGCCCTGGGGGACAAGTACTGGACTATCCCTAGCTTTGTATATGCTTCGCTTGGCATTCCCTTGGTCCTTTTAAGTGGTTCTTTCCCAGCTTCAGGTATTTTTCTCACCTGTAGGTACTCATCAGTATTCAGCTAAGTCCTGGAGGGAACACCCTGTAAATTTCCAGACTTTTCTTTTTGTTCAGTTCTCTCCTCTCCCATACTTGACCTGTGAACTCTGACCACCTTGGATTCCTTGAACTTAATCTCTCCGACTCAGGAAGAGGACTGTCTCTGCCTGTGTCCTATCCCATTCCACCTCCTGTGGCTCTGCTCAACCGCCTAGAAACTTTCTCTAGACACTTGAATCTGTAGAAATAATAGGCATCTTCTTGTTTGTGTCCTGTCTCTCAGAAATCACTGGCCTTCACTGTTGGATGGCTGATGGCTGAGAAAGTTATTACACGTATTTTTTTGCTCATTGTCTAGTTGTTTCAGGAAAGAGGATAAATCTAGTTATTGTACTTTTATTCTTGATGGCAGCAGAATTAAATACATTATATTTGAAGTAATGAACAACATTATATATGTCATTTTATACCCCTCTTTATACTTTCGTAACAATTCTTTGAAGTTAAATCTTCTGTATTGACCTTACTTGTGATAATTCTTTAAAGAAACTTTCTGTTCTTTAGAAAAGATCATAAATGTGTAAAAAGGTAAGTTTTTCAAGTGTGTAGTACTTGGAAATGGAAAAATATATTATATTAAAAACAAAACCGATAGAAAAGTCAATGGACAAACCTATTACTTCAGTCAGCTGAAACCCGTCTGAGAGCCACTATAATCAGTAAAGGCACATCTCTGTCACTTTCATATTCCTCCTGCAATCAGTAATTTAGCACTTAAGGCATGGAATCTGAAGGGGACCAAAGGTTGTGCCTTTTGGGATACTGATTTTAAGCTGGTTATTAAGAAAGAAAAGCCTCCGAAAGAACCTTTGTCCCTCTCTACTTTCATGCCTGAGAGATTAAGATAAAAAATGCTGCTTCAGAAAGGAAATTTGGGGATGCTCACCTGGACTAATTTGAATATAATATGGTAAATAAGAGGCCTTCAGGCAAGAGATTGTTAGCTAGATAACCCGTCGTTTGTGAGTTGCCTAGCAAAAATTGTCCTGCTTCTTTGTGTTCAGCTTTGTCCGCTACCTGCAAATCACCCATTGTCACTTCAGAAATCTAAGACCCCAGAAATCTAAGACCCCAGAAATCTAAGACCCCAGCCCTCACCTTTTCTCTTCTGTCCAACATGTCATGTATACCTGATGCTGCCTGTCTTTGGAACTCTATGCTTATGTGCATTCCCCATGCACATGTATTACAGTTTGGTTTTCTGTTCATCTGTCTCATGTTAGTTTGATTATTAGTCCAGCTATACAAATTTAGGAGGTGGGAGGAAAAGTAGCACTTTTAAAGCCCCTACAAATCCCTTTCTGGACAAAAAGAGATTGGCATACTCCTAACTGAAGTTGCATAAGATAGAGATTGAAGAAGCAATATCACCTGCTATTATATACTTTGGGTTCATATCTACAAACAAAATGCCTTTTAAATTTATTACTGTTGTGGCAGAAATTCGGCCGATGGGAAGAGACGGACTACATGCACTCAGGGGATTAGAAAATGACTGTTTAATGTGCACTGCTGCTGGCCCAGCGGAGTCGCCTCCAAAGGCTGAGCCCCGCACCCAGGTTGCAGCCACCTTTTATATATGATAAGCCTCCAGGTATTTGGGTCTATCTAGTACCGCTGTAGTTTAGGCAGTTGGCGAATGTAAGAGAATTACGAAGACCAGGGGAGGGTCTTTGCACTGCCTAAGGGGATTGTCTGCACCTGGCTTGCCTCCTCATTACCACTTTTTCATATGTGAATTAATAATATAATATGTCACAATGGTAAAGATTAAGTCACTCATTAAACCACCAATCCAATAGTGAGAGCAGTTATATTACACAGGAGATAACTCGATGGTTATGTTTAAAAACACATTGTGAATCTATAGCATACATTAATAATAATCTTTTGAAGTCAGAATAACCCCGATTCGACTTGAAAAAATATTTATTTAAC